ATGAGTTGTTCAGTGAATTCACTGGAATTGCCTGACTGAATAAAGAGGATCACTTTCAAGCACCTTGGGCCCAGCGTGAGTCCTAAACAACACAGTATTTACTATACATTCCTGTAATAGGAGCAGGGGACACACAGGGGCACAGTTGACTTGGCAGTATTGGACAGTCATTCTCCAGTCCATTGCCCATGCACATATGCCATCATCTTCCTTGTAAATCTCCATGTCAGGGCTATCTAACTCAGCCAATGCAAATCTTCCAGCTACCGGCCCTTGTGGAATACAGGGACACGGCAGAGGCCGATGCAGTGGCAGAGTGGCTCCATTACCCCTTCACAACCTGAGGGAAAGGTTCTTTTTCTTCACCTCCTCTTCAGCAAAAAGGGTGTGGGGCTGGAGCTAATGATAAAGATTTCTGGGTCTCAAAAGTTCAGCTGTATGCGTTCAATAGGATACCATTTGAAGGCTTGCTGCAAAGCCCATGGAAGGCAAGGAGAATCTTTTAACGGAAAGCAATAGCTTTTGAGGATCAGGACCAAAGTACTCTATTATAGGAGATTTGTATGTCAAAGAGTTTGGGGATTCTTGCTCTATGATCCAATCAGCCTAGAGTAGCTGATTGTGGCCAAAGACACCTTCAGTGTTACTCCCAACCAGGCATCCTAGTCATTTGTATTTCATAGCCAGACTGCACTGAAGATTTTGACCACGTGTGTGCATAAGAACCTGGTCACCAGCCTGGTCAGTGCTCTCATTTTGGGTCAGTTTCCCTACAGTCAAGTCTCATGCATCCAGATCAAGCGGAAAAGTTTATAAGCTTTTATTTATCTAAATAATGCTATAGGTCATACAAATACAGCCATGGTTATGGCAACCCTGTCAGGTGTGGTTTATAGCTTTCTGTTAATCTTTTTGCTCCTTGAAATACCCCATGGGCCTGAAAACCCATTTTCTTTTCTTTGGTGTGTTTAATTTGGCAAAAGCAAAACTCCTCCTTCTCCCCCTCTCCAAGCCCTGGTGTTTCTTATGAACTTTAAGCCAATGTGGTTCCCTGCCTTTCACTGTGGTTTCCTGTTTGTCTGTGCACCATCTCTGTCATTAACAGTACAGAGCTGTGAATGGTGGGGCCTGCTTGCTTCCACCAGTGCAGTCCAATGGCAAACAGTCTGTCTAGAATAGATGTGCATTTCCTCGAGCCCCCCTTCACGAGTACATTTGGATGGCATACCCCAGGGAGATGGGGCAGGGTTGGGCAGGGAAGAAACCGAGCCAAGTGCAGGGTGGAGGTACTGATTCGCCAGTTCTTTCAAGCTGACTTCCCTTCTTGGGTCTCCAAGGAAGGAATGTTCCCCTAGGTTCCACTATTTCAGCAGACACAGGACATGTAAAAGGCCTCCCCTTTGGCTCCTCTGGGGGGTCAATTAGACAATTATGGTGGGTTCATGAGGCTTGTGGGACAATGTCATAGAGCTCCTCTATATGTTACTTAGAGCCACTGAGTTTCACGTGGTTTCCATCCAAACTCATACAGCATTCATAGTTTCCTTGAAGTGAAGCTGCATTGTACAGAGTTACAAATTTCCCTAAGCTTTTTGGTCTTTGACAAAACACAAAAAACTAGCTGATTTTAACTTGATTTAGCCCCTGTTTCAAATGGACTCTGCTGCTGCTGTAGACTCTACCCAACAGCAAAGTTTCTGTCTTACCTAAATGTTGAGAATTGGGAAGAGTTTAAAATACATTGGTGGCCAGAGATTAGGTTTTGGTTTTGTGTCTAGAATGCAAAAGATTTTTCAACTAGTTTGTGATAACTTTAAAAACATGTACTTTTTTGGCCTAGAGCTACAGCAGTTGACTGCATGTCCATTAGGATGGGCTGTGTAGAAGCAAGTCTGAATAGAGTTGAGATGCTTAGTTTGTGGCAGCAATGGTAAGGTAGCTTGAGCTCAGCCCTCTTTCTTGAGTGCCCTCCACACTTCCATTGCTCGTGTGCAAGTATGTCATTAAAATGGCTGCCATGTTCTGATTTCAGTCCTATTCCCAATTAGGTCAAAATAAATCCAGGAGCATATAGACAGGCTGCAAATCAAAGTCCTCTGGCAGTTAGGAAAACAAAGATAAGGCACAAGTGAGGAAAGGTGGGAAGGGAAAGTTATGACCTGCATTCAGTTATGGTTATGTCAGGTGTAAATTGTGAGCTCCAAATTGCTGACAGGCCCCGTGAACTGTCTGACCATATCTTGTCTGATTCTGTGATGCAAAGAGTTCATTAGGGGGCTGAAAGGAGGGAGCTGTTTATACTGATGCAGCAGAATATTTGCTCTTTCTTCTGCTTTTTTTCCTTAGCTAGGAGAAATGTGACAAGCCACATTCCCTTCTGTAACACCTGATGACCAAGTGGCAGCCACCGTGCTTGATTAAACTGGCATTAGAGATGCGGAACTGTCCAAGAAGAAGGTGGCCGCAGATGGACTTTGGTCATCTACTTGCCCTTGATTTCTACTGGCACCATGCTGCCCAAGGCAGCTGCCTTCCTGAGTCTAGAAGAACAATTGTCCTTTGGCTGACAGCAAAGAACAATGCATTCGTTTATAATAGGTTAACTTGCATACAAACATGCCTGAGGCCAAACTTTTCCATGTGTAACTTGGTTACACACAGGAGAATGTCCTCTTGTCTCAGTACAAAATCTCAGCCCCAGAACCATCTTATTAAATGATCAGAATTCTCTCAAACTGATCAGGTACTGGCCTGAAAGCCCCACAGCTGAACTCTTCTAATTATTATTGAATGGGGCAGTGTGAGGCAATGGCAGAGCAAGCTTTCCCACACTGGCTCATCTCCAGTTGGAGAGATCATCTTTGCTTTCGGGAACCTTTCTGCTGATAGTCAGCTGGTCAGTGCCAATTACAATGATAGGTTTTGAGTAATATGTTCCTTATTGTCATGTATGTTGACACTCAAAATCAGCCTCTGAAGCAGCAGGTTTGGTCTTGGAAAGGCAGATATGCATAAAAGACAAAATCAAAGGGCACCTGTCTTATTGGTTGCATTTAGTATAGTTGTTGTATTGATCTCAACCAACTCCCCACCTTCCCCTCGCTCAGGAGCTCCAGCCATTCTACTATACCATTGAGTCAAAGCCACTTGAAAGCTTCTGGTTCAAGTCTGCCTGCTAACCCCACAAAACCAGAAGCCAGGAGAGGAGGAGGTCTCCAGGCAGGAGGGTTTTCTTCCTTCCAGATTTAACCATAGCTTTTGGATTAAATGAAGTCAGGGCAGGCATTTAAACCAAAAACAATCCACTGCTGGACCGTCCCAGTCAGGGCATTCTCTCTCCTGCTGGAACTGACCTAGGTCTGGTCCCTCTTCCTTTGTGGGGCCTGTTTGTACCATTAAACTGTGCTTTTCACATTGCTGCTCTCAGAAAAGACCTCTGGGTAAAGACAAAAGTTGTGCCAGCCAAGCTACTCTCTAGCACTGCCAAAGGTGCTAGTCTCAGAAGTAGGAAAACTATTCATCTTGTGCCCTGGGGGGAGAAGTTGAGGAGGAGGCACTGCCAAGAAGAAAAACAACAGCTGCACTCAGCAAATGGAAGCAGCATATTGTGGCTGGTCTACAGTAGGGCAGTTTGGCTAGTACAGTCTGAAGCCAGTGGACATTGGCGTGAAAGTCAGCAGCCCATTGACTGGGGTGAACCCAAAGACCTCTGTGTAGCCTTAGAGCTACGGCATTGGAGAATCATTGGCCTTTTCTTTTCCTTTTTCTTTCCTTCATACCTTACCTGTTAAATGAGCTGTCATCAGCTGCAGCCTCCCGCCTTGGCTTCTAAATGCTTGTGGCCCCTCTTATGTGAAGCTAGATTGAAGTGTGCCTATGTTACATCAGAGCCAGGCTTCAAACCAGGGTCGTCTTGAGTCTAGTTTGAAGTGTGAATGTTTCCCGTGACACCAAAGAGAATGGGAAAATAGTTCTCTTTGCTGAAGAATCCCCTTGTTGCTTTTATTGGATGAAGTGGTTCCTGCTTCCTTCTGTGCGCTGTTGCGAGGCACTGCTTTGTGGCGTCCCACCACGTTCTCTTCTTAAGCTTCTATTATGTTGTTGGCTTTCTGAATAGTCTGAGCTCCAGAGCTGTATTGCAAAGAAAAATGTTCAAAACAATAATTTGCCCAGAGCCTGCTGAGCCTCTTTTCTACAATGTTGTTTGTGTCACCTCTCTGACAGAGCACAGGTCTTATATACGGTATTATATTCTGTCCTGAGCCAGCAGTCCTGCAGTTAGTCTTAAACTTGGGCTTAGAAGTCAGAGGTCAGTCAATTCACGTCTCTTCCTGTGAGACTTTAGGCAAGTCATTGCTTCTGGTTGGGTCTCAGCTACTGCCTGTAGAAGGAAAGCCGCCCCCTCCCTCCCCACCATCATATCTTGGTGAGATTGTAAGCTCTCTGGTTCTCTATTCATTTGTATCTTGCCTAGCACAATGCTTGCAGATGGGGCCTTGAAGCACTGCTATGACAGAAATAATGATCATGGTAATAATTCAAAGAATGTGACCACCAGAAAGGATGATCCTGCATTGTTTTGTATCTCTGATCTGTTGCCCCAGCAGCGAGACAACAAACTGCCTGTCGTACCCAACAGAGGACAGACGCTCGGAAAAGCCAAGTGGAAACCTTGCTCAGGAGGCCTCCAAAACCAATGGCTGTGTGAAAGGAAAGGACCGCAAAGAGAATACTCACCACAGATCACGCAGGTAAAGTCCCAGCACCTGATGTCCTTTCTCAAAGCAGTTGGAAATACAAGGGGACGGTTTGTGTGAGAGCGGGTATGCAAAGCTATCTTCCTAATGTTCCCATCCATCCCTGCAGGGAGTCTCATATTTTGCAGTCTTCATTCAGTTGTACATGGGAGTCTAAGGGACTTGTCTTCGGGGGCATTCAGGGAAGTTAATCCAAATTACCTGAAAGTATAAATTTAAAATTGATTAATTAAACTTCATTAAATCCCTGTGTGGACACTCATTCAGAACTAAGCCCATTTTAATTCTTGTAAGTGTGTCCACACAGGGATTTCATAGGGTTTAATTAGTCCATTTTTCAAGTTTAATTTAGATTAATTTATCTGGCTGAGCTTCCCCCTTGGCATCCACCCTGGGCCACTAGCCCACTGTGGTCATGATGGCTTCATACCTGCTTTTAAGTGGGTGATTTTATTAACTTAGCCCCATTTCAGTATGGAGGGCACTTCATTCTCCTGCTTGTAGCAATGGCATCTTCCGCTGAACTCCTAGCATCACCGCAGTCCCCACATACTGTGAATTCCCTGGGCTGAGTTTGCAAGTGTCTGCCTGAGATGGGTACTTAAGTAAATGGTATCCAATCTGTTGTTTGTGAGCATGACCTGGCTGGTCACCATTGCAAACTGGTTTGAACACAGCATCCCAATGCCCCATGTTGGGTGGTGGTGATGGTAGTTTAGAATTGCCATAACAGAAGAGGTTCCCTTCCACCCTCCCCTCAATCACAGCCCAACAATGCAGGGCTTGTGATGGTAAAGGGGCAATTTATTACCGATTCATCTTTAGCCTCTGGAGGCTTGAACAGAGGAAAATGAATCAAAAGTTTCTAAATGAAGTGCCTAGACTTTCTGAACCCTGCCTGTTAAATTATCTCCAGGATTAAAGCCTATCTGGTTGGTTAAAGCTAGAAGAGAAAGAAAACACATTTCATATCTTTAGATTTCAGGCGAACCAGTACAATAATCTAAAGTGTATTTTTAATTAGACTTTGATTACAATCGAAGGGAAACAATTAAAGCCCAACCAGCTCAGGGAGAAAGTTTCTGCATTAAAGACAAAAGAAGTTATCAGCAGAAACTGAGAGAGGCTCTGCATGAATCTGCTGGCAGGGCTGGAGGTTAAATGCTTGTTCTCCTGTTGTCCTATGGCTGTGAGGGGCGAGGTGCCTGAGCTGAAGGTCATCTGAATAAGCTGTCAGAAAGCAGCAAAAAGGGCCAAGGACTGCATAGCCATGTTTTCAGAGGTACTGAGTGTCCACAGCACCTACTGAAGTAAATCAGTATTTAAAGTATCAGTAAAGCATACTTGGAAAGGCAGAGAAGTCAAGAGGATGGATGGTCTGTTGGGTGAGACAAGTGGGAATCCAAGTGATTGGGACTCAATTCCATGGCCTGCTACAGACCTTTAGGTGATCTCTGACAGTCTCTCCATCTCATCCTGCTTTTTGTGAAGTGGGAATAGAAACATTTCTCCTCTATGTAGTCTCTGGGCACAGAGAGAAGTGACAATTTTCATCTGATCTTGCCACAGAGAGTTGTCTATAGCTGTGACCAAACACAAGTGCACAGCTGCAGATAGCTTCAAAAGTGGCTGATCAGGTGAAAATCTGAACCCTTATTGCATGATGGTTCAGATGAAGATGTTTCAAAACAGTGACTTCTGTAACTTGTGTCTGTGCTGACTCCCAGCTTGTTGCTCTTTTCAGAATGGGAGGGGAAAAAGGAAGCAGAGAGAGTTTGGTTTGGGTTTTTTTCAGCCCCTGCTGGATGGTGGGGCAGGTGTATTGCCCCCTTCCCTTCCCCCCCCCCCCGAGGTAGAGGGGCTCCAATTCACTCACCCCACTCTCCAGTGCCTGCTGGGAAACACTAGAACGAGCTCCCCTCTGCTCCCTTTCACCCCTATTCTGAAAATAGCCGTGCCCTGCCCCCACGATGCTACAGAGGGAGAGACAAGAAGCCCTAGAAGAGGTTATTACAGAAAGTCTTGCCACAAAGTAAGTTGTTGCTTGTCTCCTGGCAGGCAGGGGTTGCCTTGTGCCCTGAATCAAAAGAGGATTTCTTTCCATTGAAAAGCAATTGGAACTTTACAATAAACCTCACAGGAGGAAGACCATGGTACTAGGCTCAGTACAGCAGAACCAGATTAAATTCTTTGGCTTGGGTTCAGCATGGTTATTACAGATATGGCACAGGGTTCAGCTGTAAGGGTGGTGGCTGTTTTACAGTCCTGCAGCTTTCCATTTCAAAGGAGCTGCCTATTGGCAGGGGTGGCAGCTGGTTTGGGAGGCAGAGCAAACACAGCATGTTGGAACAACCTCCCATGAGCTGCCTGGAAAGCTTGTTAAGGTTTGGTCTTGTTTTGTAGTTTCTTGATCAAAAATACAACTCTGTCCCTGAAAGCACCAGGTGGGCCTTTGCTTGTGGAAAACTGTCATAGACCGATTAAAGGGGAGCAAACTAATGGGGAAAATATAATGGGGAAGCAAACCAGGAGTGAACCAGTCTGAGCACGGCATCCCACAATTCAGGCAGGACAGCCTGGGGGAAATTAGCTTGCAAGGCTGACAAAAAGCCCACATGCCTCTATACTGAGACTGATGTCTGATTTTAAAGAAAAATTACAGTCTTCCTCAAAAAGACTTTTTTTTTTTTTTTTACCTTAGCACAGATAAAAGGCCCATCAAGCCCACTATCAGAAAAGCAGTGTAGTACATCTCCTAACAAATATTCCACTGGAGATTTGAATACTTGAGAGGAAAAAGCAAGAGAGGAAATATTTAAATGCTAATCAGAGGAGGAGGCTCCATTCCCCCCTTTGTTGAGCAAGAGAGGATGACTTGACGTTCACTATCGTGTACAGAGCTGGTGTCTCAGCCTGGAAAAAAGCAATCCATTGACCCATAATCGTGTTCAAAAGAACAAGTGGTTTGAAGTGAATGGGACAGATTTTGTTCCCTATTATGTCGGTATGAATCTAGAATCCATCCGCTGACCTCGGTGCCCGGAGAATGTACTGCAAAAGGATGGTGAAAGAGAATGTGTCTTAGAATGACATGGAGTTGATGCATCTAAAAAAGGGGCCCAGGAACAGGAGCAGAATATGCTTTTGATCTCTCCCATAGTCTTAGGCTATGTGTTACTGCTTTAGTTTTATGCAACTGCTGATGAAGGGCAGGGAGGCAGGATATCAAATATATCAGGAAGGGGATGCAACCTCAAAGACCCTCTGTTACATTTGCCCTCCAAGCCCTCCACTTACTTTGAACCCAAGATGGTTAAACTACACCAATAAAACATTAAGCCTTTGAGCCTCCTAGGTGTGCCATATTGTATAGCTGGACTGTAAGCCCTACAAGACAAACACAGCTGCCTGTGTTTGTGCTTAACAAATAATAAGCACTTTATTGCCAGAGGCCGCATTAAAGCAGATGTCCCGGCATGATGTTAGAATGCATCATGCACCTGGAAGCACCACCTCCCAGGTCCTCTGTGAGAGCCAGGGCCTGGCCATTCCCAGTTGCCATTTCTAGCTTTACCCCAGTTCCCAGCTTTTTCCCAGTTGCCAGGGCATTTGTCACAGGAGCAAGGGGGTTGAATGTACTTGCAGTCGCATTGGACATGGCATCTTCTGTTCACTGTTTTAAAGGGTAGAGTGCTGTTGAGGGACAGTCAGTACACACCAGACCTTACTGTTGTGGCAGCCCCATTTCAAAGGGGTGCTGTAAGTCTGCTGGTTCCAGCTGGTTCCTGCTGGAAGTCTGCTTGTTCTTGCAGTAGGGGAGCTGTGGCAACATCACTTCAGGCAGGGTGAAACCAGACAGTTTGTGTTCTTTTTCTTCTGTCATGGTGTTGTGAGCCTGTGCTGGAGAGTTTGCTTTGTAGTTGGGTTAGGCTGAGACTCTCCCAGTCTCATACATGCTGAGCAGCACCTTGCCCTGCAGCATGCTGGACTTCTCTGATCTATTCAGCAGAACCTGGTAGGGCTCCCAGGATCACGAACCCCAGGTGAGAGAGAGGCCCTGACCTAAAAAACTTGTAACTAGAAAAGAAAGGGTGGTACTAGCCATGGGAAATGAGGCCTGGAGAAATTAAATGACTGCCCACATTCATATACATAAAGCCAAGAACTGAATGGAGATCTCCCACATCTGGCATGCACCTTAGCCACAAGACTGCCCTCCTGCTGGGAGCTCAAAGTCATGTAGATGGGTGGCAGAACCAGCCTCTTTAAAGTTGTGACCCTTCTGGCTGCTTTGGAAGCATAAGACTGATGCTCTCTTGATCCTGGTAGAAATCTCTCAGTAATCCTTCCCTGATGGGGCTCATTCCCCTTGTTAAAAATAAATTAGTGAGCAGCTAGCTCTGTGGAAGGGGAGGGAGAAGCGTTCTGCTTGTTACACATTTACTGCTTGAGTCCTGATTATAAAGCTTTTTTTCAACTGTTTCAGAAATACTGTGCTGTTCAGTTATTCACGGTTCATGACCAAAGCATTAGCATAAAGTTTAGTTTTGTAGGGCAATAAAAAAGTGTATTAAAAGCACTACACAATTGGCTTTTTACAGGAGTGTAATTTTAATAGTAATTCAAGCCCTAGACAAGACCATGTCTGGCTGGGCCCCCTTCAGCATATGGAAGATCCTGAATAGGAGTTAGTGACAACTGCAGGTCAACCCTTCCTTCCCATAGCCAAGGCCAGCCCATGCTAGAGGCCAACTGGGCAGCCGCCTGACTGGCAAGATATGAGGGAGGCATTTTTTGAGCCACCTAATGATCTGCAGTTTTGGATTTGCTAGTGTAGTTAGCTCTGCAAATGGGGGAAGGGGCAGCAAAATGTAATTTGCCCAGAAGAGCAAAATAGCACGAGTCAGCCCTACCCACAGCCCTGTCAAGTGAAATGTCTTGATGCCATAGGTAGTTCCATAAGTAATAACAAGTACCTTTTCTGCAATTATTAATAGTAAATATTAATCAAGTAATAAAAATGAAAAAAAACAACTTTACATTCAGTAGTTTTAGATGTCTTATCTAAACCCTGATACAATTTGCTGGGTATGTGCAACCCCCAAGGATCACTTTGCAGATATGAGACCCCAGTAGTACTCTACAGACCTGGCCTAAACCACACACCATCCCTGTCTTCTCATTTTGTAAATGGGGAAAACAAGGCAAAGACACACCAAAGCCTGTCTTTTCAAAGGGATCTACTAATTTTAGGTGCCACCATTGCAGGCTTCCCAAATAAAGACACCTTTGAAGCTGCTTTTCAGAGGTCTTGACACTCCACAATTCCTGTTAACTTCAGTGGGAGGCTGAGATAATGAAATCTGGCTTGTATCAATGTGATATTTTCCAGTCCTCTCAGTGTTGGCTTAGATCTGCTCCACACAGTACATTATGACTTGCTCAAGGTATCATGGGAAGTCAAGATCAAAGCCAAGAACACAACCCAGGAGTCCTGATGCCCCATCACCTCCTCCATCCCTTAGCCTATACCCATTTCCTCCATTTTTAAGATTGTTTGCTTTGGTTAAAGAATAGCCACAAATCACTGTCACATTTTAAACTAAGAGTCCTACACTCGTTTAACTACAGTATTTGCTTTTAATTTAAATGCAATATGCTTATGCACCAAACGTTCAAAAATGAATTCATAGGAGCATATTTTTGAGGTTTAACAACTGTGTAAGAGATATATATCTCATTAAATTACCATAACACCTCAATAAATATTTTTTATAATCAATTGCTCTTTAACATACATTAACTCTGTTATTAAATTTAGAGAGATGTATCTAGTTGCAATAATTATTGTATGCGAATTAAATGCCAATTAATTATTTAAAACATATTTACTGAGGGTAACAAAACTTATAAATCTATTAGAGTTGTTAACCTCAAGAAATATGTTTTAAATAATCAACTGGCATATGAGCAACATACAGCAGCTATCTCATTATATCTACATTAAATCCTTAGAGGAGACAGTTAATTTAAAGCATGACCAAATTACTCATGACACGGTAATTAAGTATTCACCCTGCATTATAGATCTGCCATGAAACCCAATCTTTCATGGACAGCCCTGCTGCAAGAAATGTCCCTCAATGCGGACTAGCTGGGAATTCAGGGACTTGACAAAACCAGCATTGGCTGACACTAGTCAACCCAAGGTCCTTTTTCTTCTTCTCTCTCTCCAGCTCCCTGGGTCATGAGGAGTGCACGCCACCACCTCCCTCCAGGGGGAAGAAGAAGAAAAAGAAATCTACGCGTAAGAAGAGGAGGAGGTAAGTGCAGAAAGAAGGGAAACCACAGCCTGGAGACGGTTCAGATTCTAGTCAAAGGAAGAATTTTTGCAGGTTAGGTGAGAGCATGTGATTGTACAGGAAAGAGAATAGTAGTGCTGCAGAAGGAAGAGAACTGCGAGTGTGGTGCCAGGAGGTCAAACAAGAAAATGGAGAGAAACTAAAAACGGGCTGATGTTGGACTTTCTGTCAGTGAGATCTTGAGCGGTAGGAATAGGGATATCTGGGGAAGTCTGTGTTTTGAGCCTTCAATCTAGTCCAGGCCAAACACTATAAAGCAAACTACAGGGAGCTGTCCTGCCCTGAGTCCCCTGGTTGGAAGGAGTTAGGGAGCATGACCATGACCTCTTTGCTTATACTAGGAATATTCCAAAGAGTTTCTGAAAGCTAAGGACAGAGGATACACCTTAAGGGCCTCAGCCCAAGCTTCAGTCCTTCTCTTTGGAGTTTCATGGTGCACTTCTGATCCATGGAGGTTCTTCTACCACAAACACCACCATTCGCATGGGTGCCAGAGGGGGACTCACACCCACGGCCTGAAAGTAGCAGCTCCAGGGCAGAATTATAGGTGTGTACAGAAGTTGATTTTTCACCATTTAAAGTGCTTTATTGCCATGACTTAGGAGAAGTGCATGGCTTTACAGCACTTTAAAAATTGTTAGAGTGCTTTAAATTAACTCTTGTTAAATAAGGCCACTTCTACATGTGATGAGGGTTTAGTCCCCTAAATTGAAATGGTAGGCTTTTAATTGTGATGCTTAAAAACCCACTGTTTCAATTTAGGCTTTCATCACCGTTATAGTGCCTGCCCACCTCTCCCGTGGCCTGGTGGGGGGGTGAGCTACCAGTGGGTCAAGCTGCTGCTGATCTCTGGGGAGCCCTGGTGCTTCCCTCCATGGCAGTGGTGCCTCCTGGGGCTGTTTGGGTGGGCTGCTAATAAGCAGGTGCTGTCCAGGAGGTGCTGCCACTGTGGAGGGAAGGGCCAGAGGCCCCCACAGCTCAGGGCCTGCTGGCAGCTTGCTCCATAGCCATGGGAGAGACAGGCAGGCTCTGCAGAAAATAAAAAAGGATCAGGCCCCCCACTGTTTGTTTTTCCTCAATGGAGCCTGCCCATGCAAGCTGCCACCGGGCCGTGTAGCCCCTATGCTGCAGGGAGGCCTGGTCCTTTCCTCAGTGGCAGCGGTGCCCCCCAGGACCACCCAAGCTAGCTGCGCGGGTGCTGTCCCAGCTTGCAGGCAGCACCGGCCAGATCCAACTCTTCCCTGAGCCTGCACGCTAGAAGCCCACCAGTTGCTGCTCCTGACATGGGCTTGGGGAAGAGTTGGATCCAGTGGGTGCTGCCTGAGAGCTGGGGAGCACCTGTACAACTAGCACTCCACCCAGGCGGCCCCAGGGGGCACTGCCTTCACAGGGGGAAGGACACGGTCATCCTGCAGCTCAGGGACTGCATGGCTCAGTGGCAGCTTGCACTGGCAGGCTCCGCTGAGGAAAGAAAAGAAGTGACAAGGGGCCTGTTCCTTTTCTATTTTGTTCCATAAAGCCTGCCTGCCTCTCCCATGGCTGGGGGGTGAGTTGCCGGTGGGCCCTGAGCTGCGGGGGGCCCCAGACCTTCCCTCCACAGCAGCAGCACCCCCCAGGGCTGCCCAGGCAGGTGGCTAGCCGGCAAGTGCTACCCCAGCTCTCAGGCAGCACCCAGCCCAATCCAGCTGTTCCCTGACCCTGAGCTAGCATAGCACCCGCTCACTAGCAGCCGGCCTGGGCAGTCCCAAGGGGTGCTGCCACCGTGGAAGGAAGGACTAGGGCCCTCCACAGCTCAGGGGCCACTCAGCCCACTGGCAGTTTGCCCCCTGGCCACAGGAGGCAGGTTCTGTAGAAAAAAAATAGATTGGGCCCCTCACTGCTTCTGCCTTCAGTTTGCCTCTCCCATGGGGGGGCGAGCTGTCAAAGGCTGCAACCTTACAAATAGCTACATTGCAATCTAAACTACATGCGGATGTGGTTTAGTTTGCAACGTAGCAAACTCATTTAAATCATAAAAAAAACCCTGCACGTATACAGTGTGATGCAATTAAACCACAAAAACAGCCAATTTTCATCATGTGTACGAGCACCCTGAGGTATTAAATTTGAAGCGCTATATTTTACAGCACTTTAGCAACTTACAGGACTTCAAATAACTTCTGTATACTAGTCAAATTTCTGACCAGTGGAGAAGCCCCAGGAGGCTGTGGAGTGCCCCTGCCTCCTAGCCTGGAAAGTGCAGGAAGGCTCAGAGGTCCCCCCGCACTCATCAAACACTGCACTTCTGCCACGTTTAAGAGCACTGTAACTTTACAGTGGGATAAAAAGTGCTCTAAATTACAGCACTGTAAAACATGCACAGAGCACTTCTGTACACACCCCATGTGGGGAGAACCTGAGGCTCAGGGAAAATCCATGTGTGAAAAATCAGGGCCTATAGGTGGCAGCAATGCAAAGCTGTCACAGCCCCAGCAACCTGACCAGGAAATTCTACCCAGCTGAGTCAGCTGCTGTAGCACCTGCTGAAATGGCTTGGTTAATGTCTTTCCCTCCGATCATCTGACAGTTAAACCAGGTAGGAACCCAGGACCAGGTTACATTACAGCAAGTCACTAGAGGGCAAGAGGTCCCTGATAAAAGTAGGTCTGAGAGGGCTATGAAAATCATGATCTTGCCTTCCCCTTCTTGTGCTGCCTGTGAATGCTGATGCCCATGGAAATGCTGATGCCTGGAGCCCAGCCTGGTGCAAGCAGCTGCTGTGCACACTGACCTGCCTGAGTTCAACTGATGCATTGGAACCTGTGCACCCAGCCCCCTTGTCCTTCAAAGTTTTAGCTCTACCAGGAGCAGGGCCCTGGAACGTAAGGCCAGGCATTAACGTCCAAGATTCAGTGTGACCTGTCCCTACCCCTCATAGAGCCACTCCAGCTGCAGCAGTGTTAGGTTCAGGCTCATGTTGAGGTCTAGAACAGGAAGAAGCTAAAGGGATCATGGGATTGGAGGAAGCTTGGATGTGCCCAGCCAGAGCTATGATAATGGGAGAAAGAACCCGGTTCCCTGGGGCAGGCAAGTGCTTCAGTGACCTTGGAAATAGCATCACATTTCACCACAGAGCTTCCAGTCAGCACTGCCCAGCTTATGCTCTGTGCTACTCACTGCTGGAGCCTAAGTAGTAAGTGACACTAGCAAGTCATTGAATAGACATAGAATACATTTCCCATGGAGTGAAGGCCTTTATTTTGCAGTAAACAAGGGGTGGATACATGACACACAGCCTTGCAATGGTGTAAGTTGCTATACCTACAGGGAAATTTGCCCATCAGGAAAAGGTGTAATTTACACTGGGGGACTGATAGTATTCCTTCTTGCCTAGTCAGTTTAATCCCCAGGTAGATGTTTGCTCCATGCAAGTTCATGAAAGTGGAGACTGCAGGTAGCCAGCATGGAAAAACCAATCATTTGTCCACTTCTTATCATGAACTAAAATCTGGGTTCAGTTACTCCAAAGCAGTGGTGCTGGTGTCCCCTGGCTGTGCCTCCTGTCTGTCCAGGGTAAGGTGCAAGTACCCAGAGCCAAAAGGGCCTCTGCTACAACAGATCTGGCAGGACTCTGCAATTCAACCTGCCTTAGCTCTACCCAGGCAGCTCAATACAAACTTGCAGCTTTCTCTGCTGCCTCTGGGCTTTCCTGTACACAGCCTGGGAACTGCAGCAAAGTCAGTGAGGCTTCATGATGAGTTTCAGCTAGTCTGGCTAAGCAAGGATTTGACTGTGCTGAAAAGGGCAAGTGCATCACACTGCCATGGCCCAGGGTACTCCCATGTAGACATTCCAACTTCACTTTTTGAGTGTTCCCTGCACTAATATACTGTCACCATCCCCAGGTCTCCATCGTACAGCCCCTCACCTGTGAAGAAAAAGAAGAAGAAAAGCTCAAAGAAGCGAAAACGAAACAGGTACTCTCCTTGCGCATCTCACCCCCAGCCTCACATGCAGCCCCTGCACATTGAAGCACCAGGCTGGTCAGCACAGCTGCACTGCTATGGTCAGAAGGTCACTAAGACTAGGGACAGACATTCAGAAAGCCTGAGACTGAATTGATTCAATCTTTGACCGTTAGTCTAACCTGGTTTGGCTAAATCACTTTGTAACTCCACAGACTTCCCAGAAATAACACCACATGCCTGCATTGGCTCAGGCTAGAAGTTGGGAGGTGTTAGCACAGCCCTCCCTTCCCTTGCACACAACTGAGCTGAGGGGGGACCTGGCCAGGCCCCGGCAGGACACTCTGATTAGCACAGCAGGGAATTGATAACAGTGTTTATCACCCCTAACTCAGTGTTTATCACTCCATTAAGAAAACAACAGAGGGACATTACCAGCTACCTGTTGATTCTGCCTGTTGATTCAGAGGGACTGTAGCCAGCATGTGGTCTGCTAGCTAATACACAAACACCTCTCCACAAGGCAGAGGGGAGAGGAATTTCTGCTTAGCAGGTAGTGGCGAGGGGGAGGGGGAGAGCAGCTGCATCTCTGCCAGAGCTGCAGCCAGAGAGCAGAGGGGAGGGGCCGGCCCTGCTGTGGAGCAGAGAGCCCTGCCCGGGCTAGAGAACATGCTGGGATGCTGGGGGAGTCCCAGAGAACATGCCAGGATGCTGGGGGAGACCCCCTGATTTAATTTAAACCAGCAAGGGGTCTGGGACATGTGGTGTCCATGCCAGGTCAGCCCTACACACTGGATCTGGGGCTGGTTCAGCCTTGCATGCCAGATCCAGTGCACAGGGCTGGTCTAGCACAGGCTCCACATGCAGCATATGCCCCAGACTGGCTCTGTGTGCTGCATGAAGTACACTCCCTGACCAGCCCCTCACACCTTATGCAGCCTGTGGGGCCAGGGCCAATGAGTGCTGCATATGACGTGCAGAGCTGGAGCCAGCGTGTGCACTGCAAGTAGTACATGCAGCCAATCAAGAGCATGTGCTACAGGAAGTGCCTGCACCAGACCAGCTCTGCAGGCTGGATTCAGCAAGTATGGCTAGTCTGTGGGCCTGCCAGCCCTGCACCCCTCATCTGGCTCACAGAGCTGGATGAGTTTGACCCCTGCTATAGAATGAAGAGAATGGAGGCTGCAGAAATCAGGTTGTTGGAGAGGCAAGCCAAATCAAAGGCTACCCCTGTGCCCAGCTGTTGAGGACCACACATCTGCATTCAGAACCCACGAGAGGACACGGTCACTCCATTTCCATCTTGCTTTAATAACTATATCTGAGTGAGCCTCAAAATCACTCAAATATTGGAACCAGTGATAGGCTGTGACAGGAACCCCAGAGTCAGGACCCAGCAGCCCTCTCTCCCCTGCCCCAAGCATTCCAGCATCCCAAGTGCAAACGTCGGTCTGAATGGCACTGCCCAGACCTGTGTCTGTAAGAACCTTGACCCTCTGAAACCTTCCAGCCAGGAGACTGGCTTGCAGCTGCTCCAGATTTATGTTCTTGGGCCCATTTCTCACTTAAAGATCACAATTACATGTATAAATATCACACATATCACTATTTCCTCCCAGGCACTAAACTAATATTTGCTGAGAACAATTGGTCTCCCTCCAAAAACATGTGGATTTATACTTAGTTGAACCCACAAGATGGAACAGCTTTACAAACCTACAAATAATACAAGGCTAAACGCTGAGCCTGATGCTCTGTGGAGGGAGGTGGGAGACTGAGAGACAGATGCAGAGTAGTGGGAGAAGACAGCAGCTCCCCCAAAGCCCTTCACTTTGAAGAAGCGAGTCTTGAGCTCCTGCTTGGGGTCTGCCCTGCAGCCCTGATGCTGGGGCTGCTTGGAAGAGCCAGTTCTGCCAGTACAGAGCAGGGGGAAGCAACAACCCCATCCATATGGCAGCCTTGAACACCCACCTTGCCACAGTGTAAAAGAGTATGCCTGGGGCAAAGCACCAAGAAATCAGGCCCATTGGCTTTGAAAGAGATACTCTGAATTTACACCAAGGTCAGAATTCACCTGCACATCTAGAAGATTAAGTGGCATGTGCCCCTGTAAAATGATTCCACCTAGGAGAGAAATTGCTAGTATTGCCGAGACAGCAAATCTTCCCCTCTGCCATTGCCAACACCATCATAGGGTCTGTAGAGCAATGAGACTGGGGGGTGGGTTCCCCAAATGCCCCACCAGAGCAGTGCACTGAGGAGAGCAGCCTGGCTCCTTTTCCACCCCTCGGGATCATGTGGGGAGGATTTTCCCCTCAGGACTGCTGCTCAGTCCTTATGTGAAGCACATTTAACTCAGGGGCAATGATCTGGCCCCAAATAAAGAAAACAGAATAGGTCAGGCCCTCTTGAACACTTGAAGCAGATGGATGACAGCACATGGCTGCATGGGCTCATTTACCTGATGCAGGCCTGAGTGCTTCAATGGTGACAGCAGGGAAAATAGAGCCAAGGAGAAGAATGAGTATGCCTGCCCCAAGAGAGCTATTACACTTAGGGCTAGATTCTCAAAAGCACTTGGCCCCCAGCTGCTCCCACCTCAGTACTCCTAGGCATTTTTTCAAGAGCTCAGCTGCCTGTGTGCCAAGTGTGGCAGGGAAGACTGGTGCTCTAGCTAATCAGGAGCAGAGATCAGCCTGCCATGCTGCAAGTGGGGTTCCTCTCTTAGCCACCAAGCTGGCCTTAACTGCATGGGTCCCTGGACAAATGCAGTGGTGTGTGTTGATTCCACCTGAGCAACATCTCCACTCAGTTTCTATCTTTGTTTCTTGCAGGTTATCTTCAAAGAAGAGGAGACACAGGTAAAAAAAAACAAACCTTTGATGCTCACCTAAGAACCGTGGGGTAATTCTATTCAGGCAGCCCCCTAGGAAACACTGGAAGAGTCTCAGGGAGCCCAGACGCTCCAGTGCTGGTTTGAGGAGGTGTACATTTCCCTGAACTGAGCTTATGAAACCCTCGCCTGCCCCTTTGCACCCAGCACCTGTGGGTTTACAAGGGCAGTGTGTGCCATCTTCACCAGCAGGGTGGCATTCAGCACTCCATGCTGTTTGAGGCCAGGGGCACTTGAGCCTTCACTTTGCACTAGTAAACTTTTTGCCACTGGATGTAAGTGTAGGCTGTGCACCACTCGGGGAGTGTACATTGTGGCTTAGATAAACTCTCTTTAGAGAGGCAGACATATAAAGGATGAGCCCATTGCTTTAGAGAGACCAGCAGAGGAGTCTTAAATTTAGAGTGCTATTTTTACCTTCCCATGTGCCAGGATATTTGGAAATACTTTGGCAGTACTAACCTGTTGTGCTGTTACAGCAAAGGCTCTGTCAGCGATCTCTTTAGGAAGCCCAGCATTGAGACATTTCTAAAGCTCCTGGGTTTTTGTTTGCCCCGTGGGGACCACCACATTGTCAAAAACAGACATCTTCGGTGGCCTTGGTACCTGGCAGGGTCCAGCATCAGTAAATGGAAGCCTCCCTCTGTTCTACTTTATTGCCAGTTTGATAGTTAGAACTTCCTTGCCTACAGATACAGTTCTCACCCTAACTATCCAGTGGCCTTTCAGGCTGGCTGGACTCTTGTTTGCCTGTTTGACTTAGGGTTCAACCCACAAGCCAGTATTTATGTTAGTTTCCAGCTGCCTTGTGGCCAGATCCTAGTTGCAATAGAAGGCTCCCGATTGTAGATGTCAATGGAAAGCTTGAGGTTTCCAGTGTTTAGTAGGGAGGACATGCAGCTTCAGAAAGCTGACCTTGGCAACAGAGGCAGCCTCTGTCTAGTGGCAGATCTATTATGGCATAGATTGAATCCTAAAACTGTATTTCTTAGGGTTTAGTTTATAAAAAAACATGTAGCACCAAGCAAATCCTTCATCTGATAGACCTGGCACAGGAAGGTCATTGAACATCTCCCTGAGACCTGGGCTGAGTCACTCTAGTGTCACCCCAGATTTATGCTAGTGTAACTCTATCTATTTCAGTACAGTATAAATGTTTTATATATATATTAATCCATATTTTCCATAGAAATGAAAAAAGCTGGTGGGATTCAAGGGCGGGGGAGGGTGGTAATGGTGAAATGTACTTTTTCAATAAGCTCCATAGACCATATTCACCACAGAGGGATGCATGAGCACAGATCCATCAGCCTGAATGGCATAAGGCTTTCTCTTCCCAGGATGTATAATTCTCCATTTGGTATTTTACAATTGAGTTGTACTGTAACATTACTCTGATGACTTGGTGTGTAGTTGAAGCTGAAATCTTCCCATTAATTAGCTTTTCTTATTTAGCTCCTCAAGCCCAAAAAGTAAAAGAAAGGAAGAAAGAAAACACAAAAAACAGTAAGTAGAGATGTCCTGATCTATCTCATGTGTGTCTGGTGAACTGCCCTTTACCAGTCAGGAGTACAAGGGAGATTTTGGTGCCAGGCAGCCTCTCCGTTCTTTGTTGTGGTTCAGGGTCACTTATAAATGGGCCTCCAGCTGGTAAACTTCCAGGTGCACTTAGAATGCAGATTCTTATTTTCCCAGCTAAAATGAAGGGAAGCTTTTCTCCTTCACAGAGACTGGTCAGCAGGGCTGGTTGGCATGAGTCAAATTTCAAATTGCAACACTTGAACATTTTCTAATTAGAGGAAAAACAAAACTTAATCCCAAGGGTTTGGAAGATGCTTGTCCCTCTACCCTCTGTCTGAAGCGTAGAGATCAAAGTTTAAGGATTGCCTGTTTCAAAGGACAAGTGACAGGTGCAAGCTGTAGAGCTAGCACTTGGCTATGCTAGAGCCTTATGCAAAACTGAATGGACAGAGCCTCAGAGATAGTCATAACCCAGACATGTCAGTGGTGTCAGGAAGTGGCTTGGCACATGGAAGGCCAACTGAGCTTGCTTTCTTCATGCTGCAGGGATAAAGGGCCTGTAAATCAGCAGGGAGTTCTGATGAAACAGAATCCACGTGTGCATCAGCCCAGCCCTGGCAAAACACCTTCAATGAACAGAGAGAATAATGGTCTCAAGGGGCACATCCACACATGCAGACTGAGTAATGGGGCATACAGGTAGCAGCTTGCCTTTGCAAGTGCTGTTTACAAATGTGTTTACTCAGCCTGTGGGCATAAGTCTGGGATCTACACTTGGAACCTTTGACCCCAGATATGATAAAAAAGCGAGAGGTACATCCTGGCAAGGGGCAGAGGGATTATTTGTTTCTGTGCCATAATGGGAGCATTCGTTCTTACAAGGCATTCTGCCTTCTCCCAGGGATGGGGCTTGGAGGAAGCTGGGGAGGCCAGCCAGCACAGAACAGTGCATCCCCCACACTGTCTTAACAGGAGGTCATGAGAGGGAGGAGGATCACAGGGCTCCCTGCAGTTGGCTTAGTCTGGGATGGGGCTGTGCGAACCTTTGGGCACTGATTCGATTCGGAGGAGATTTGGCCTGATTCAGTGGCCAAATCTCTGAATCCGAATTGAACCAGGAGACCAATCAAAAGGTCCGAATAGATTTGAAGCTCTCCAAATCTTTGGAAAAGATTTGGAGAGCTTCGATGCTTCAGACAGTCCCAGTGGCTGCAGCAGGGAGCTGCAGCTGGAATCGGAGCTGGTAAGTACTAGGAGCGGGGAGGGGGGGCTGGAGGAGGAGGGACGGGACTACGGGTGGACCCCTGCCAGGCCCCATCCTGTGCCTGCTCCCCTAGCCCCCCCATGGCTGCCCTGCCTGCCCCAGCTCCCGGTGCTTTAAACAAAAGCCCCACTCACAAGGTGCTGCCGGGCGCGGGGGGGGGTGTGATCTCTGCTGCCCCCCAGTGCCTCATGCCACATGGGGGGCTCTGCCACAAGCCCCCCAACCCCTTTCCTGCTGTCCCAGCCTCCCCACTCCCGCTGCCCCACCCAGCCCAACTCCGGCCCTTTAAGAAAAAAAAAGATGGAGAAAAACCCTGGAAATCACCACTCCTGCAGCAGCCTCGGGGCTTCAGGGGGCTCGTGCAGAGCCCCCCACGTGGCGGGGCAGCAGGGATCACCCCCCACCAGGCAGGAATGGTAAGTGGCAGAGCCTTTGGCATTCCATCGAGTCTCCATGGGAGAGTGGGTGGGGAATGAGCCTGGCCTGGGTGATTTGGAGATTCAGCCGAATCAATTCAGGAGAGTGATTTGAATCACCAAATCGAATAACTGTCCCCCGAATTGGACGAATCTGAAACGCATACTAGCCACTTTGCACAGGCCTAGTCTGAGACTCAGTAAGGATGCTGCTCCCAAGAGCTTTCATTCCCCAAAGGTAGCTGCACTCTTAGGGGTACTTTACTCCAGTAGCTCTGATGACTCTAGGGCAGCTACCAGCAGTACAAGGTACAAGAGGAGATAAGAGGGGCAGAACCTGGTGCTAAAATGGGGAGGGGAATAGGAGTGAAATCAGATACAGGGAATAATCTGGTTTGAGAGCCAATCAGCAGTGGCTGCAGAGCACAACAGCACCTGCCCCAGGAAGATCACAATCCAGGTAAGTACCAATAAGGGGCATGTTGGTGTCAAGAGAGCTCGTGGGCCTCTGTATATATCTCTGGTCCAGGAGGGGAGGCTGTGAACTCTGCATGCATCTGGTGTGAGGCATGGGGAGGTCTGTATCTGCAGGCTCCAGGGAAGATCATCAGAAATAACCTCTCTGGATCACTGCCTCTGACACCTCCTAACTCAGGGAGTTTTCATTTGTTTGCCATTTGCATTATATATTCTTTCTCTTTGGCATGTGATTGGCCATCTAAGTCACATGGTATTGTTCCTTCTCCCTGGTTGAATGGCAAAAGTTTTAAAGAGGCAAGTAATGAGGATAGTTTGTTGATTTTATGTTGAGTAATTACACTTCAAGCCCCAACATCTGGACAAGAACACAAGCATTGTAAATAAAAGAATGCAAAAGGGTCAGGTAACATGGCCATGAAATCAAGAAAACATATCCCTAGCAGTTAACCAGTCACTACCTCCACCAACTGCTAGGCTGCCCCCTTCCGGCTTCCAAGTCAGGCTGAACAGATAGATCGTCTTTACACTGAACAGCCAGCATTGTCACAAAATATAGACACTGACCAGCCACAAGAGGGAAAGGATTCTGAAGCAGGCATCTACCACCAAACTCACCTGTCATCCACACTCAAGCACTCAGTCTTTAGGAATTGGTGACAAGCACATTGCAACTGATTGTAGCTGCCACAGTAGAGCAGTGGAAAAGGCAGCAAGGTACTGGGCTGGGTCCCAGCGCACACATCCGCCATATGCCTGCTATGACGTTTCGGTATTTTAAAAATGAGAGCAGAGTAGGAGTGAGCATGTGACTTACAGGAAGTCAGATATAAAGACACCTGCCTCTTAACCAGGTTCTGTCTGGCTGAGCGCTCTTTAACTAGGGGAGCTGTTTTTTGGGGGTCTCTACAAAGGCCAGGGAAGGGTCACCTAGATGGAAAGACATGCTTTCCCCTTCCCAGCAGGAGAAAGTGGGAGGGCGTCTCTGCCACCAAGGGCTCTGTATTACCTTGAGTCTTTTTTGTTCATCTTCTGTTTAGTAATAAACTGGCCGGGTGGGAAGGAGCTTAAAACTCAGCTCAAGCATTTGTTCTTTGTTTGGCCAGTCCACGCTTGTGAATATGCTCAGGAATAGAAAAGCCCCAGGCTACAGGTCATCTGCAGACAGGTGGCCAAATGTGATCTTTAGCCTGCCTAACAAGTGCATTTTCATATAGGTTAACACTAGGCAAGATTGTTATCCTCTGCTCTGGACCCGTGAATGACCCAGGCCCTGGAGCTCCACCCTCTGATTCCTGCAGCCAGATGTGAACGATAGCAGAACTCTAAGAAAGGCAGCGGGGTCCTGTTTGCAGGCTCCCATGTGATAGAGGATCCTTCACATCTCTTGGTAGCCACCCCAAAAGTTAACCAGTACTATTAACTATTTTAACTATTAAAAAACCCTGGTATTGCTTTTACAGTTTGGACTCTGCTGACTTTGCCTCCAGGTGCTATCTGTCCTGGTGCCATTGCTAGATTAACAAGTCTTTCTTTCTGCTTCACAAGCTGTCGTAGCCGGCCGCGAAAATCCCATCGACACCGCCATCGCCACTGCCACTCCCGGTCAGAGAGCTCAGGTTCCCGCTCCTCTAGCTGCCAAAGCAGGTAAGGGGCCCTTCGCTGAGTTCACTTTCCTTTCAGTCTCACTCCACAGCTGCCTTAGGGACAAAGCAACAGTTGTGTTAGCAATCACAGTGTTACCCACAGCCAATCAGCATAGTCTCCCTCTAAAAGAGGCTGAGCCAAAATTGAAGGTCATTGAGTCTGCTGGTGTCATGGCTATCAGAGCTTGGCCTTTGAGCTCAGGTAGTTGAAGCTTATGCTTCTGATACCTAATGCCAGTGATCCTCCCCATGCAGGTACAGCCTAATATCAACCCAGTGTCCCAGGCTGGCAGTCACCTCTTCACATCAGCAGCAGCAAGGCCCATGCATGACCTAAATCCCACATATCTGTTAAAATAGGTGTCCACACAGAGGTGAATGCTGTGTCTAGTTGACATGTTTGCCCAAGGCACCTGGTGAGCCATTTTTGTTGTAGGTCTGGCAAAGGGCCAGAACACCAGGTAGTGATATATGCCAGGGTTGCTGGTTTGACCCTTTTCCTGCTCAGGCTCCCATTTCTCTTAAACACTCAACTTTCAAAGAGCCTTTTTGTTTGGCTGCTTTTAAGAAGCTTTTGTTCAGGAGCAGTCACTGATCCCTGTAGGGAGAAGCAGCATGATGGTAAAGCAAAGGGGTTTGTGCCAAAGGTGTGTTCTGTTTGAGGTAGGTGGCTTTGGGGATCATAAATCCCTTCCTGAGATGGGACCAAGCCACAGTCAGTTGCAGATTCTATATCCTCCCCTAAAGCTCAGGGATACTTGAATAGAGGGTTAGTATCTAAGTTATTACAGGGTCAAGCAGGTTTGGATCCTGGACCCAAACATTGGAGGTCTTGCATCATGGCCCAGAGATAACCCAGTTTCAGACTACTAAGAGCAGTAAAACACCATTCCTGAATAGGGAGTCAGCATCTACCTTTTGCCTCAACCTCCAATAGTCAGCTGTCCCTCAAACTAGCTATCACTTAGGATGAAATCCCTTTTGGGATATAGTGGGTCAGCACAAAGCCTTTCTGGGCTCAGATGGGCTCCAGGCCTTGTGCTAGCTGCAATGAGGTAACCTTCATCCTACACCAGGAGGTGTCACTTAGGCCACTCTGAGCATTTCTATTATACAAATAAAGAGTAAGAATAGTTTGATGTTCCATTTGTCTTTTTGCAGGCACAGAGACAGATCTCGGGAGGAAAGGCATAAAGCTAGACGAAGACGCTCCCGGCACCATTCAAAGAACACTGAAAAACGAAGCATTTCTGCTGAGGTTCAGGCCAGCTATTCCTCCAGCCAAACCCTTCAGATCTACAGCTTCCTCTCAGCTAAGGAAGTAGTAAGTATTACCCATTTTGCTTCCCTGCCCAGACTAGCCACAGGAACTTGGGCAAAAAAATCAGATATGAAATTTTTATAACTCAATTACAGTTATGTTAGACAAAGTTGGTTTAAAACTGTATTATTTATTAATGATGCTGTTCTGCGATGTATTAAAAGTCATTCCTTCCCTCAGCACTTTCACACAGGGGGTGGGGTAGGACAGGGGGAAAAAATCTCCTATGGCTTTAGCCTATGAATAATGAATTGGGGACATTAAACAAAAAAGTGGCCTCCAGCGATGGTATTTTACAGGGAAATATTTGTGATGCAGTCTTTGCTCAGCTGGATGTGAACTTAATTCACTGGTCTTCATATCCACCAGTTTAGGCCTTCAGGGGAGAAAGGGAATCAAACATATATAAAAGAAACATTTACTTTTAATGAGTTGGTGATTATTGGCAGAGGATGTTTGTTGAGTCTTGGGATTCCTTTAAGATCATCATTCCCCTTTACTGACAAACCTGAGGGCCAAATTTGGAACATGTAGGCAGCTCCAGTGGTGCTAATGGGAGCTGTGTGTGCATCCAAGGGTAAAATCAAGCCCAAGGCCTTGGGATATCTTTCCATATACATAGATGATGAGGAGAGATGCTATAATAATCTGTCCCCATCAAGGGAGAGAGAGGAAGAAATTATATAAATGAAGGCCTGCTGTTCCACAGCACTGTACCTTGTGCAGCCGCTCATGCCTGTGCAGAGTGCATACAGAGAGGCTACCACATCAGAACAGGAGTATCTTCTATTCCCTTTGCACAAGTATTAAGTATTAGCCAAAGGGCAAAGCACGGAAAAATCTGTGTGTACAATATTAGAGACGGTACAAATCAAAACACTACAACTCCCACCCCCTAGAACTGGTGTGGTATAGGGGTCTGATCCTCTCACTTAGAGATTAGTTGTATAGCAGGATTAACATGACTGAATTCACTAGTTATATCAACATAAAACCAAAGTCAGTAAGAGGATAATTTGTATGTGTGCATGTGTGCATGCTCCCTTATATCTTATACTCCACTATACACACACATCATCCAGAGATATGGGTATATACGCACACCTATATATTTAACACATATAGAAGATATACACCTGTGCATATGCGTATATAGAAACAGATGTTGTGTATGTGTATGTGGAACAAGAAATACACTATGGCATGGTAAGCTATGATTTTTTTATGGGCATGAGCTTGAATGACTGCATTACTGAGGACTAGTGAAGCCATGGATAAGTTACCAGCACATTCTAAATAAGGGCCAGTAAAACTCTGGGTACCAGAAGCAGTAATAGCCACATTAGTGCAGAGCTCCATCTTGGCTAATGTACCCTGATTCTCTGCAGGGCTAACTAGCCCCAGCAGACCCCCATGCTAATGTGGCCATACTGCTCCCATTCCCTTAGTTAGCACTGTGTAGTGCAAGCCATATCCACCATATCTGAGTGGGTACCCTACTTCCTATTCACCTCTCCCTGAAGTCAGGCTCCCTGAATGTCCTGAGGCAAACATCCCACTGGAAACTCCCCCAAACAAGAGGAAAATGGAACTCAGAATTGTAGAAACCATTAAAATGGTCTAAATTGGAGCATTTGACTCTGCACTGGCTGTGCTCAGACCTAGATGACCATGCATGGTGCAAGGCAAAGAATCCAGCCCAAAGCACTTATCAACAAAGCTGCAGGTGAGGAGTCAGAAATAATAGCCACTGGGACATGGGGATAGCTTTAGGTTAATAATGTGAGCAAATATATTGACAGTAAAAAATGTATTAACGCACTCACTGTGCAATCTATCAGTGTCCTTCATCTCCCAAAAGAAATACACGCTCAGGCCATAATTCAGGAAATTACTTAAATAGTCATTTATAGTTAAGCACCTACTTAACTGCCGTCCTGAATAGTGACACTTTCCTGTACCAGGACCTTAAATGTCATGTGCAGAAAACTGGTAGTGGAGAGACATAGGTAAAATTTAATCTCATGCATTGGAGACATGCCTTATGACCAGACATAGCGATTTTGTGGCTTCATTCTGCCTTTTGTAGGATCTTTGCTCAGTCTTTATTTAAGGTTAGGTGAATTGTTCCATTCAAAAAATGTTGACAGGAATTTGGGTTTTTAATTAAATGAAAATGTTCATGAAAAGTGCCTGCACTTTTCAGAAAAAAACTCCAAAACACTAATACCTGAAAACAAAACAGGGTTTGGCCAAAATCCACATGCTTTGCTTCAGAAAGCTTTGATTCAGTGATTCATGATGACAATGATAATTGGGTTGTCCATGTCCTGTTTCTTGTTTATGGGCTGAATTTCCTCCCCACACTGCATCTCCTGCAGTCAGGGATTCCCCTGATGAACCCTCAGAGGCAGGGCCAAATTAATGGATAGGCAAACTAGGCACATGCCCAGGGCCCTAAGTGAAGAAGAGGCCCAGTTGTGCTTATTTTACATATTATAAGTATTGAGTGAAAAAAGGAGGGGCCCATGAGTTTGTTTGCCTAGGGCCCACTAAAGGGCTAATTCAGCCCTGCTCAGAGGCAACCAAGAAGGGAGATCCTGGGATATCGCAGAAGATGTAGCCCAAGCAAAGAGACTGGTCAACAGAGAGAATGCAGGGCATGGCAATGCAAAGCACGGCTCCCAGCCAGCCCTATGGGGGACACTTCCCAATCACAGGATTTGGTTTCGGGCCAATGAGTTGAACTTTTTTTGTTCAACAATGGAAATTTTCTATTTGCAAACCTTGATGATTTGTTTTTTATTTACACTGATGTTTCCCATGGGGGGAGAGAGGCATTTTTTTAACCAGTCCTATCAATACCTTGTACGAAAAAAGCATTGCATTGCCCAGGGCATCTCTGTCTCTCTCTCATGCTTACATGTGTGTGCATATGGCAGGACAAGTAATAATTTCACACTGCTTATCTTTCTGGTAACCAATGTCCTGACCTCTTTTGCTTTTAATCTTTGCTGAACAATTAATGACATGCAGCCACAATAGGAACCTATTTAGAGCTGTCCCTCAGTGCACAGAGAACTGTGGGTAATATGCAGCATTTATTTTTAAACATAATATTAACTGGCTCCCTAACTTGCTGTAGATGCTTTGATCCACACTGCTACAAATGTATTACATGCTGCTGTGCTTTCAGGACATTGTAGTCAAGCAGACCAATATAAGCACCTACAGGGTAGAAATCTAATTGCCGTTGTTGTATCTGATGAAGCGGACCACAGACTGCATGCACTCTCCTTGCCAGCTCCTCTCCTTTCACTGGCAGATCCACAGCTAAAACTAACATAGCTTGGGGCCAAATTATGAGTGAGACTATGGGGAGGCTTAGGGGACAACTATTCCAAGAAGCAGTAATTATTCCAGTGCTAATGTACCTACAAAAGGATGGAGGCAGGAAAATGGAAGTCAGACTGCAGAGTCGCTCAGCATGTGCTGGGAAGGGGATAGAAGCCTTGCAAGAAACATAAATTTGGTCTCTATGATACTTCATGTTTTCCAGCCTGTTCACTTTAAATTGTCACATTTTTTTCCACTTACCAGCCCCACAACCCCAACACACATAGTTAAAACTCAAGAATAAAAGAAGTAAAGCAATGGTGGGGATATTTGCATATATATATATATATATATATATATGCAAAACCCTCTTTTTTAATTTCAGTGAGCCTCCAAGACCCCAGTCTGTTGCCTGGTTCAGCATCGTGTTTGGGCTAAAAGAAGGATGGAAAGATCTGACTAACCTGGACAGAGGAGTGTGGGTCTGAGTGGAGAGCATCAGCTGTAGGCATGTCAGGGGGACAGATACTAGACCAGTTCTCTCACCCAGGCTGTCCTGGTGCATCTTGAACCTGATCTGCAGCACCTCTGGCTGTTTTTGTTCAGCGTTTCCATAGAGCACTGGCTGTCAGTCATGCAGGCTGGAGTGATTTTTGCAAGGCAGACAAACATCCACTTAGAAACAGGCTGAAACCTGCCACTGCAATTGATTGGTGGCCAAGTCTGTACTGGAGAGGAAACAACTAGTGCAGCAAAACACTTTCCTCACTGTAACTTTCCTGTTTTTATTGCCTGTGACAGTCAGTAGACTCAGCCTAGCTTGCATTGTACCAGGGGTTCAATCCCCTACTCTCGGTGCAGGTAAGAGTCCCATTAAAGTCGAGGAGGATCGATTCACTGAATTTTGCTTGAGTCAGGAATCCGTAATTAGGCACTGTGGGGTTATATTTCCATCCACTGATATCTTTGTTCAAAATTAGTTATTTAAATATAGGGTGACCATATGGGACAATGAAATCTGGGACATTGCTCCCATCCCCCTTCGGCTCTCAAGTCAGTAGCACTGCTGCAGGCAGAGGTGGACCAGGGTGTCATGGTGCAGCTCTGGTATTAATATTCAGGCCGCTAAGAGTGTCAATGGATTAGTGGAATGGCCTGTCAATGACGTATTGTTCTTTACTTCACAGGTGTTAACAATCACTTCTCCTTTTTAATGGCCATTCCACTAATCAAGCTAACCTATTTTAGGGCAATCTTGCTGTCTGCTAGGGCTTCCTATTTCACAGCTTCTGCCGCTCTACTTTCCCACTCTGTGCCCTGCACCCAGGACACTCATTTTAATTTTCACCAGCCAGCCAGGACCAGCCTTCAAAATCTGGGACTGTTCTGGCCAAATCAGGATGTGTGGTCACCCTACTTACATAGGATTTAAACAGAAAGGGTCATATCCTCAGCTACAGTTAATCAGCAGGCTTCCAGTGAGGCCAGTGGAATGAGGCTGGTTTACCCCAGCTAAGAGTCTGGACCTAAACTCCCCCCATTAGTAGAATATACCCCTAAAACCTAACACATGCTCTCACTGTCCCAAGTGGTGTCTAACAGCAGGTGTTGCATCTGACTTTAGAAGCCCATCAGCAAAATGCTCTTGCTCTTTAACCTGCTGCTAC